CACGCACAAACGCATATACATGTGCACAATACACGGAGAGAATTTTTTCTTAGAATTTACCCTGAAAATATGACAATCGTGGGACAACATTTACTGAAGTGCATGGTAAAAATCTTTAAAATATTGTATTGTACCACAATCACCATATTTTCAGGGTAAATTTTAAAAGAAAATTCTCTCCGTGTAGGTTCAACGTATTCTCGTACCTGCAGTTACAATTAAAGGACATACTGGTTTAAATAATATGAGAAATATTTATGTACGTACTATGTTATTGATCATATTTAATTTCAAAAAGCCATTTAAATTCTATTCATGTAGTAAAAGTTTGCTTATTGTTAGCCGGAAATTAATTGACACAGTTGAAACATGTTAAATTTTCACATATCCTAAACAGTCTAATCAAATTTTTGTGTTAATTTAATACAAGATGAATGTATTAGGAAATAACACGAAAATGTAAAACTGATACAATTTATACAAAGTAATCATATTTTTTAATAAAAATTAATACTAGACATAATTTATGTTATGTCTATATATAGTATCCATGTTAACTTGATGTGTTTCAATAAATTTAACATTTGTAATATATTAACACATTTTATTCATTTATTTTAGAATAATTTATCTTTTAAAAGACATTATTTTTATGTTATTTATTTATTTACTCAAAAATTGTGTTATTTCAACACTAAAAAATATTGAATATCAATTAAAAATTTTTAAATAATAGTTACGTTATGTTAAATCACATCGTGTTAAATTAATATTCGGATATATTAACAATTTAACACAAAATTTTAACGAAGACTTGTGGACCGTCTCTAACAAATATGAAATATTTTATCAAAGCAAAATAAAAAATGAGAATTATTAAAAGATAACATTATCCACCGATTTGTGGTGCTCCTATAATTTATAAATTAATTATGAAGTCCAAGATAACGCGATATAATGTCGTAGTAGATATGCGTGTAATAACTTATCACTGATATATATATTCGCGCGTAATAATATCTCGCAAACGTTGTGTACTCGAAGAAACTTTGACGCGTACGAAGTTAGTGCACAATCAGCCTCCGAGCACACCATGTGCTTCCTCCTTCTCATTTATCTCCTCTTATCGGGTAACGTTGCGGATGTTTTCACGGAGGACGCCGACTGTCAGGTTTACAACCACCTGTATGTCTGTTTGGAGAACAGCAGTTTTCTTCACAGCGTCGCTTTCGAGGACGTCAACGCTGTTCAGACGATTGAGGATATCGAGTTACATCTGGAGAATCTCGGGATCGTTAACATTACCAGAAACGCCTTCATCGAGGTCAACAACTCGTCCGCTCTCTATGTCCGCGATAATCGGCTATCGAGTATCGACCGGCATTACTTCGACGCTCTCGATCAGCTCACCTATTTGGATTTGAAAAATAATACGATCACCAACGTAGAAGATGGTGCTTTCATGAGTTTGTGTAATCTGGAGACTTTGCTGCTGGATTATAACAACATCTCGGACTTGCGACCTGGCGTGTGGAAGGGTCTCTCGGAGTTGCACGAGCTCTACATCACCAACAACCGGCTCACGTTGAGGAGGAACATGTTCAAGGGACTCAGACAGCTCGAAACGCTGGTCCTGGATTCGAATGACATACCGGAGATACCGATCGGCGCGTTCAATGGGCTATCCCATATAGACCTTCTCTATCTGTCGCGCAACAAGATCTCGACCTTGCACCCCGATGTGTTCCGTGGTCTCAGCGAGATAAACGAGCTTGACTTAGGTAGGAATCGACTGAGAACAATTCCAGCCAATGTCTTTCGGCACATGAAGTCACTGAACTCGCTCTGGCTGAACGGCAATCAGTTGACAGTGTTGAAGTCCGACACCTTTCAGGGTCTAGATAATTTACTGTTTCTTTTCTTGAACAACAACGACCTCCGTTATGTGGACATGGCAGCATTTGTGCGAATGAAAAACGTAACTGTGGATCCCGGCTTCAAAGTACGCGGCTTGTTAGTGGACGACTTTGGAAAAGTTCACGGTCAATATCAATGCAACAGCGTGGCGTATCAGATACCGTACGACTGTACAGAGATTGATTCATAGATTTCAGGAACCGGCTAGAGCTCGTAAGCGAGATGTTTTTGTATTCATAAATATACGTCCGAGAAAACTGAAAATATTATATTATATTATATAACAGTGATATACACACACAAAAAAACCGTATTTTTATTTTCAAAGATCTATAAAAAGATTTAAGATGCCCGAATATGTACCAACATAATTATGACTCTTAATTATAAAAATCTACAGGGATAATAACTTAAACACATCTTATTTTAACAATATTAAATTAATTGAGAAATTCAACACAAATAAGTCAAGAAGGCCATATTCGATCAAGGCGGGTCCAATATTCTAATCGGTGTGTAGTTTATTTGAAAATTGTAACATTCATAAAAAAATATTATAAAGCACCAAGACGCGCTTGAATATGGCCTTCTTTGCTTATTTGTATTGAACATTTTATTGATGAAATTTTTTTTCGAATATGCATGCGTAAATATTATGGAAAATAATGTACTGTCTATTATTTATTAATCATTAATGATTTTTGACGTTTTTCAGAAATTTTTAAAGGTTACGGTCAAGAGAATCCTCCTAATCCTTGCTACTGGAGAACTTCTATGGATTATGGCTGGTACGCACCGACAATTCATACAGTGCCGACGTTTTATTATCCCCAGAACCATTCTTTCAGCGCCGAACTCGGTCGCGCCGGGATGTATCGAAATTGTTCTCTCAATACAGAACTCGACAAGTCGTTATTTTAAATTCTATGTCATGTGACTTGTTTATCTATCTTTAATACATATGTGTGATGATAATAATTATAAAATATGTAGTATACGATTTAAATATTAATCAATGTTTTTGTTTTCTTTATGCGTACACTATTTTATCTTTTTTATTTTTGTAGAAATTATTAATTAACATGTGTACTCACTCTTTTAGACTCGTATATGAAAATAAAAATTGATTAATGCCAATAACATTCAAGTTTATCTTTGTATGTAACTCTTTTTAACTATTCAGGAATTTCGTCTATATTATAAAGATATGCCACTGATGAGGATGTATTAGGATATAAAAGAAAAATGACAATATATGCGTGTGATTTTTATGCTTATATATGCTTTTATTATTACAGTTCAGCTTATGTATTGCATTGAACATAATAATGTAACAGGTTCTACATCGGAGCGCCTTTGAAGTATGCAACGCCCTGTATCTAATGCATATTATGGATATCTCATTTGTTACCATTGCTGCAGAGATATTATTGATGATTAATATAGCATTTCGTCTCATCTTCATTTTATTATCGATGCGATTCATCTATACGTATCGCCTAATAATCGTTAATAATTGGAAAAAAAACCATTGCGCTTATACAGTGTCATGACAATTACACATTAATATTTATAACATTTCGCAGTTAAAACACCTCGAAACTCGCATTAATTACTATATTTCACATTAATTGTAGTAATATATTAGTAATGGTAATCTTGTTAGCAACGTAACACGTATAATATATATTTATGTATATATAACATAATGGACATTTATAATCGCGATCTATTGTTTTAACACATTTAGGAGTAAGATTTATCATAACAACCATAATGACTAGGAAACATTGGAAATGTTTTATAATCTATTATGGCAACAGGGACTAAGTAATGGTTCACACATTCATGTTTTTCTTTTTTTGTGATTCAGAAAATTAATTTTCTGAATAACGTATTAATTGCTATTGTTCTATTGGTACTTCTGTTTAGTTAATTACCACATCGAAACGTTGAACATTTCAAGAAACTATTACCATGTCCGTCACCCATACAGGTAAAACATTAATAATACAAAAAAATCTCATCGTAATTTTTGTCCGTATCATTAAATCGTTGTTCTTGAGAAAATATCATATATGAAAGAGCTAAATAAAAATACTTGTCGTAATGGATTACCATTCCATGATCGCGATTAACAATCGAGAAGTCTTAATGGATATTACATTTCATTTTAACACGAGAAAATTTCTTTATACTTTTATCGTAATATATAAAATACCGATACAAAAGTTTTACAAAAAGGCGCAGATATGAATACAATACGCCGAAAAACAACGTGTCCAATGCCCTTCCGAATTGAAAATTAAATTAATAACTTCACCCGATTGAGCTTCGATATTCATCGGATGTTTCGCATCAAATACCGTTTTTATAATAAGCATATTTTAGGCCAAAAACGAACATGCTCCGACTGAGATATCCTCTCATCTCGGAATACGATCTACTCTATATTGTCTCATCTACATTTCATTTCGCGACTATGGCACTCTTATTGAATGTACTGGGCGTTTATGCTCGCTGTTCATCGCGCTCTTTTCGCTCTTACTAACAGAAGAGACTGAAATTGATTTTCAAACGAATAAAGTATTTAAATTTTTATCTCTCGTACTTAAATTTGAATTTTGTTATTTTCAAGGTATAATATTTCAAGAGAGTTATTTAAGTGACATTTTCAATCTTTAATCAAGTGACAAATGCACGATCGCAACGAGCATCTTTACGTCCTGACTAACGATAAACGATATCATAGGAATAATTACATATTTGTATTTATATATTCGTTTGCATTTATATATATTTTTCTTTATATTTTTTTATATATTTTATATATATTATTTATATACTCTTTATGTATTTTTATACACGTTCTCGTTAATATTGTACTACACTTCTTCGCGTATTCGCTAGAGGCTATAAATTTGTAATCTTACATTTGACTCGTTTCATAGCCTTAGAGCTTTGCCTGATAATCCTTAGTAATTAACGATGACAGATAGAACTCGCATTTTATGTGTGTGATCTAATTTCTTTCCCATTTACGCTTAGGGGGAAAAGCTACTCTGTTACTTACTTACATTTGCATCGTACGATAAGTGATAATTCTAGCGCGCGCTAATCTACGCGCGCGCAACGTATTACACGGACATTGCGTATATGTTATCATCGTTGTTCGATCTTTTCTTGCCGTTTACATTCCACCGTTCAGGACACGTACTCGTTCTGTTGATTCGTTGTCCTCTCAGTGAACTACTAAAAATATGCTTATAACTTTAAGTACCGTTACAAGTTTATCATTAAAAAGAAACGCACCGTGTCGTTTGCGATTCCTCGATCTTTCGTTTTTCTTACATCGATCTTGAATTCAGGGATTGTCCTTCTAATCGTCAACTTTTCTATCTTTCATCTCAAATTACGCGGAAATGGTGTCCGATCATTTTCCCGTAATTCGAAATCTTACTACATTCCAAATTAAGAAAATTCAGTAATCTAAATTTCAAATAAATTATACAAAGATATTCATTTTTTAAAAATTACTTAATCGACTTCTTGGGAGGTGTAATTAAGTCTAATTCGTTTGATGGAAAAAGCACATAAGTTGCAGTAAACTATAAAATATAAAATAAAATAGCGACATTATTGAATCTATTCTGAAACACGATGTTTAATCAATACAAGCATATTAAAGTTCTATAATTGGAACAGATATCAAAAAGGCCGCCATTTATTCAGACTATTTCAGACCATCCTCGAACTGTTACACCTTGCATTTTTTTTCCATTACGCTCGAAATCACCGCACGAACCGCAACGAATCATCCGCTTGTATACTCATCATCCATTACAACTCTATCGTTTCTGCTTTTTTTTTCTCGCAACGATTGAATCGCACGCACTTCGCACGGGGTAATGTCAAAAGTCATCACCGTCGGTATTCAGCTTCGATTCAAGGTTCATCGAAACGTCGACCATCGCGTGAATGTCAGCCAATTCGAAAGTCATGGCGGTTTTCGAGCACGTGGCGGCCAACGAGTCGATCGTGAACCTCGATTCAACCCTTTCTCCCGCGTGGGTGGTCCGTTCGTGGTCATCGAAGCGTCACGTTTCGATTCTCCCTTTCTCTCTTTGGGTGCATGATCAACGTGCTCGCGCCCGGTAAGAATCATTCCGCTCGAGAAAGCGCGACGAGCACGGCCGCCCTTTCGTCTACTAATCTATGTATCTGTTTTTGGATTATACGTGTATTGTATATCTTGCAATACTTTGACCGATTACGTTAATTTTTAAGATCCCTAACGAATCTACATAAGTTAGTTAATATTAGACCTGTGTCTACCTGAAATCGGTGACTTCCTAGAGCGGTGACTTCCTTCTCAAGTAAGAGAAGTATTCTCAATATTTTACTTTGCTGGCACGATACAGTTCCATACTTTAATAATAGTGCATTAAATAACATTGATGTCGTACCGTGTACAGTAATATTACTTATAAGTATAGCGATTTAATTTTCTGTGCATGTAGTGACAATGAGTATGTGTATGATTGAATGCCATACATATTGGGCTAGCACGCATTGAAATCAAGGATGTAACGCACAATACTGGGCTGCGACGTGTATATTTGTCGCGCCCGCACGCCTACTCGATTATTATTGTTGTTCGTTTTCCTTTCGGGTTACCATCCGACTTTAACATTAAATTCATTATTCTAATCTTACCATAATGCAATATAATTAACGCAGTTCCCTCTTAGACGAAGGGAATACTACCTTGCAGTTGCGAGCAATTTGCGATGTTAAACTGTTCGCAAATTGTTTGCAGTCTATGTATATATTCACATTCGCGGTTACAACAAACTTATTATATTCATAATGATCGATATCATGCAGATTATTCATTTAACATTAAATTCATTACTCTAATCTCACCATAATCGAAGGATATAATCGGTAAGTATATGAGGAGACTTTTATAATACTTTACTATCTACGTTATTACTGAATTTTCTTGCAATCGCAAGATATTTGTCCCTATTGACGCAGTTCCCTCTTAGATGAATAAGGGAATACTGCCTTACAGTTGCGAACAATTTGCGATGTTAAACTGTTCGCAAATTGTTTGCAATCTGCGTATGTTCATGTTCAACATTCGCGGTTACAACAAACTTATTATATTCATAATGATCGATATCATGCAGATTACTCATTTAACATTAAACTCATTACTCTAATCTTATCATAATCGAAGGATATAATCGGTAAGTGTATATGAGGAGACTTTTATAATACTCTACTATCTGTGTTATTACTAAATTTTCTTGCAAACGCAAGATATTTGTCTCTATTGATGCAGTTCCCTCTTAGACGAATAAGGGAATACTGCCTTACAGTTGCGAGCAATTTGCGATGTTAAACTGTTCGCAAATTGTTTGCAGTCTGCGTATATTCACATTTAACATTCGCGATTACGACAAACTTGTTGTGTCCATAATGATCGATATCATGCAGATTACTCATTTAACATTAAATTCATTACTCTAATCTCATCATAATCGAAGGATATAATCAGTTTATGAGGAGACTTTTATAATACTTTACTATTTGTGTAATTACTTTCCGTGCTTGTGCAAATAACGCAGTTCCCTCTTAGACGAATAAGGGAATACTGCCTTACAGTTGCGAGCAATTTGCGATGTTAAACTGTTCGCAAATTGTTTGCAGTCTGCGTATATTCACATTCAACATTCGCGGTTACGACAAACTTTGTTATATTCATAATGGTCGATATTATGCAGATTACTCATTTAACGTTAAATTCATTATTCTAAATCTCACCATAATCAAAGCATATAATCAGTATATGTGGAGACTTTTATAATACTTTACTATTTGTGGTATTACTTCGATCTTGCGCAATTGCCGCAGTTCCTTCTTAGACTAGTAAGGGAATACTGCCTTGCAGTTGCGAGCAATTTGCGATGTTAAACCGTTTGCAAATTGTTTGCAGTTTGCGTATATTCACATTCAACATTCGCGGTTACAATGATATACTCGTTATATTCGTAATGATTGATGTTATGCAGATTACTCATTTAACATTAAATTCATTACTTTAATCTCGTCATAATCAAATGATATAATCGGCAAGTGTATGAGGAGACTTTTATAATACTTTATAGTCTACTTTCGGAATTAATGAATTCCATAATAACAGTTCCCTCTTAGACGAATGAGGGAATACTGCCTTGCAGTTGCGAGCAATTCGCGATGTTAAACTGTTCGCAAATTGTTTGCATTCTACGTATATTCACATTCAATATTCGCGGTTACAATGATATATTGTTATATTCATAATGATCAATATAATGCAGATTACTCATAAATATTAAATATACACAAGTACGCATTAAATGTTAAAATGCGAGCCGTCGTGTAATCGGGGATAAATCTCGATAATGCGTAGGTACTGTATCCTACCACAGCTTAGATGCGAAACAAAGATATACACCACTGAAATGTGCTTCTTGCCATTTTCGTTGTGAATCACTTATAAAGTTAACAATTTTGGTGTTTTATGCGGCCACAATTAACATTTATCGATCACATTTCGTAAAATAGTTATGAACAAATTGTAAAATAGCTATGAAAACGTAATATAATCTCTCTATCTTACATATCGAGATTTTCGTGTATTTGAAATGTATTCGTTAATGTAACAATCCGATTGCTTATTGTTAATTGCACAGTAGTTGCATAGAACCTTATGTGTGACATTATTATTAGAATTGCTTTCACAAATAGTAGTTAAAGTAAAATTAGTTGCTGCAAGTAACGTTCTAACGTTATAAGAACGATCTTAGCAATTAACGGACAATTAGCAGAAATATTTTTGTTAATTTTAAAATCATGCATATCGCGATTTGTAATAAACACGTATAGATTCAATATATCTAATTATTCTATCATCTTTATTGGAAGGGAAAAGTTGAAGGGGAAATTAGTAAGATTGTAACGATCCCACGCAACTACTGTTGATCTAAAATATAAAGCGGAAGAAAAGAAGCATTAGCGATCGCCAAGTTGATATGTAAAAGATTTCTCCTCGATATACAGTGACGAATGCTCGAAAAACACAAGTGAAGGACATAAATATATATGAAAGCTTTATGGTTCGGAGAGGAACATAAGAAGGTACCATTGACTTGACCTTGGCGCCGTTAAGACGGTCAGATTAAAGTCAATTTAAATGTTTTAAATGGGACACCCCATGTTTCATTACATATTCTCGTAACTTACCTCAAGAGTTTTTTAAAACACTGTAATAAAATATTTTTTATTAGTTCTTTTCGAGTTATATGACTTGAAAGTTACAGTACCTAAGATATCTGACCGATTTAAAATCTCTTGAATGTTGCTCGAGGTCACTTTGATAATATTTGTGAAGATCAAGGCCATTAGAGGTTGTTTCTCTAATTTTTGTTTTTATATAAAGATGAAAATAAAAGGAACTTTGAAGCTTTATGACTCGAAAAGTACTGATTGAAAAAAGACCTCATTATAGTATTTTGAAAACATCTTGACTTTAGCTGCAAGAATACGCTATAAAAATGGGGGTTACCATTTAAAAATTTCAAAGTGATCTTTACTTGACCTTGACAACGCTATTCATACTATGTTGTACTACATACATATGTTGCACTCCATTTAAAGTAAACCACTTATAACTTTTGCCTGAAACATTTTTCAAGAAAATGCATATTTTTCGAGAGAAGAGCCTGATACAGTTGCTCTGTCAAACCTGATATATGCATATATACATGAGTGTTAATCTAAAGACGTAAAACATGCACAAAACCCTAACTTATTAGCAAAAATTGAAATAGTTTTAACAGAAATATTTATCTGAACGATATGTCTATAAAAAATATTATTTGAATGAAATATTTTGTAGCATGTGTAAAAGTAAATACTGTTTAATATTTATATTTACATGTACTTGAAATAAGATACTTATTTTACACTTTGATATACCTAGGATACACAAGTTTTCTTTTTTTTTATTGCTCATTTACTATTTTCTATTTCTTGAATACATACAAAACAGTAATAAACAACAAAAAATAGAAGACTTATATTTATCTATAATATAATATATCAAAATGTAGAATAAATATCTTATTTTAAGTAAATGTAAATATAAATGTTAAATACTATTTGTTCTTTTTATATGTATACTATACCAAATACTTATTTCAAATAGTATTCTTATAAACATATTCTTTATAAATAAATATTTTTATTGAATTCATTAGAATTTCAATTTTTCCCTAGCATTGAAAATATCAATTACTATTTTCTATTTTAATTTCTAATAACTATTTTCTGGTTTCTGCTTTCTAATTTTCTACTTTTCCCACCGTGTTTATTGCACTATTCTGTCGAAGGATAATCATCGAGAAGATGGGGAGATTACTTTGAGAGACTTTGCGAATAGCCTTCCCTCTTGGAAAAGAAGAAAGGAATACTTATTGAGTAACATTAATAGCGAGTCGTCATGTAATCGGGGATAAATCGATAATGCGTATTCTATTGGCTTACCACTTAAATGCAAAACAAAGATATACTATTTCCTAATTTCTATTTTCTAATTTCTACTTTCTATTTTTCTACTTTCCCCACCGTGCTTATTGCACTATCCTGTCGAAGGATAATCATCGAGAAGATGGGGAGACTACTGTTGAGTCGACTTTACGAACAGCCTTCCCTCTTGGGAAAGAAGGAAGGAATACTTATTAAGTAACATCAATAGCGAGCCGTCATGTATCGAGGATAAATCGATGATGCGTATTCTATTGGCCTACCATTCAAATGCAAAATAAAGATATACTATTTTCTAATTACTATTTTCTAATTTCTATTTTCTACTTTCCCCACCGTGCTTATTGCACTATCCTGTCGCGATAATCGAAGGATAATTATCGAGAAGATGGGAAGATTACTATTATATGTAGGTGTGTTTTAATGTCAAACTTCCCTCTTGGACGAAGGAAGTAATACTTAGAAATACTTATTTTAAATCATCAATAACGAGCCGTCATGTAATCGGGGATAAATCGATGATGCGTATTCTGGCCTACCATTCAAATGCAAAGCAAAGTTATATAACGGCTGAAATGCGCTCCTGTCGTTTTCGTTGCGAATCACTTATAAAGCTGAAAATTTTGTATTCTGTGTGGCTACAATTAACGTTTATCGAATACATTCCATAAAATAAACAAAATGCAAAAAGACAACCTCTCTATCTTCTGTTTCGCGTATTCAAAATGTAACAATCCGATTGGTTATTGTTAATTGCGCAGTAGTTGCATAGAATGTGATATCATAAGAACTGTTATCACAAATGTCATTAAAAGTAAAGTTAGTTAAGTTGCTACAAATAGCTTTCTACCTAATGTTATAAGAACGATCTTAAGAATTAGTGCACATTTTTATTACAGACATCATACGTATCGCAATTGTTAATAATCTGTATAGATTCAATACGTCTGACTGTTCTACCATCTTCGTTGGTAGAGAAAAGGTAAACGGGAAAATGTTAGGATTTTAATGACTCCATGCTACTACTGCTAGCCTCAAACAAACAGAAGAAAAGGAATAAAAAGCTCAATAATCGATACCGCTAAAATGATGTACGTAAAAGATTTCTCCTCGATGTACATTGACGAATGCTCAAAGTTAACATGCGCGAATTTGTAACTTATTACCAGTGCTAGAGAAAATTAGGATAGATTTAGAAATATATCTTTAAAGAAATGTATCTGTGAAAAATACTATTTGAAATAAGTATTTTGTATAGTACATATAAAAAAGTAAGTAGTACTTTACATTTATATTTGCATTGACTTAAAATAAGATATTTATTTTACATTTCGATGTGTCATGGATAAACAAGTTTTTCTTTTTCCTATTATTTATTTACTATTTTTTATACCTTAAAAATACGAAGCAAAAATTGTAAATAAACAATAGAAAACAGAAAAACTTATGTATCCATGATATATGGAAACACAATATAAAAATTATATATTTGGAGTAAATGTAAATATAAACGTTAAATACTATTTGCTTTTTTATATTATTTATACTATATAAAATACTTATTAAATAGTATATATTTTTATAAATACATCCTTTAAATAAATATTTCTACTGAATCTATTTCAATTTTTCTTTAGCACTAAAAATATCTACTACTATTTTCTATTATAACTATTTTGCTCCCCGTGCTATTGCATTATTCTCTCGCGATAATCGAAGGATAACCGTTGAGAATATAAGGAGACTTATTATTATTTAATCTGTCCGCTAACAATTTTTTAACAATTTTTCTCCTCTTTGATTGAAGAGGAAAAACTGACAGTTCTGAACGATTTGCGGAGCTAAGCTGTCCACAAATTGTTCACTGTCTGCGTTATATTTACATCAATCGTTTACAATAAACTTGTTATATTCACAATGATCGATATTATAGAGATCACTAATCATTTATTATCCTATCGTAGTGTCGTCCTCGCTTAGGGAATAATTAGCCTAACATCGCCTTACAGTATGAATTATTATTTGTAAATGTATTTTTATAAATCTCATTTAAAGAAATGTATGTATGAAAAATACCATTTGAAATAAGTATTTTGTGTAGTACATATAAAAAAGTAAGTAGTACTTAACATTTATATCTAAATTGACTTAAAATAAGATATTTATTTTATATTTCGATATGTCATGGATAAACAAGTTTTTCTTTTTTCTATTACTTATTTACTATTTCTTAAAAGTACAAAGCAAAAAATAGTAAATAAACATTAAAAAACAGAAAAACTTATGTATCCATAACATATGGAAACACAATATAAAAATTATATATTTGGAGTAAATGTAAATGTAAACGTTAAATACTATTTGTTTTTTTATATGATTTATATTATATAAAATACTTATTTCAAATAGTATACATTTTTATAAATACATCTTTTAAATAAATATTTCTACTGAATCTATTTTAATTTTTCTTTAACGCGCTAAAAATTACTACTATTTTCTATTATAACTATTTTCCTCCCCGTGCTATTGCACCATTCTCTCGCGATAATCGAAGGATAACCGTAGAGAATATAAGGAGATTTATTATTATTTAATCTGCCCGCTTAACAATTTTTCTCCTCTTTGATTGAAGAGGAAAAACTTACAGTTCTGAACGATTTGCGGAGCTAAACTTTCCGCAAATTGTTCACTGTCTGCGTTATATTCACATCAATCGTTTACAATAAACTTGTTATATTTACAATGATCGACATTATAGAGATCACTAATCATTTATTATCGTATCATAGTAGTCGTCCTCGCTTAGTGTTATATAATTTGTCTAACATCGTCTTACTTGGGAAAATTTACTTTAGAAAACTTTAAAAAGAGAGAGTACTTACTGTAGAGAAAATATGAAAAGTAAATTTTGACACTTTAAACTTTTTTTTTAAAGTAACTTTAAAACTTACTTAAAAAAAAGTGAAAGGAACTGAACGGAACTAAAGAAATTTATAGATTAGAAAAAATTATGTTAACAGTTTTGAAGTTTTTCTTTAAAATAATTGTAAAAATTATGAATTTGTATCAAGGCAAGCCTCTTTTATTTATAAGAAAGCTTGCCATTAAAAAATTATTTAGTTATAACGCGAATGAAAAATCTCATAACGCTGTGCCTTTTATTCTATTCTGTATTGAATCTTACGAGAAAATGTAGCACCGCCGTGTCCCTCTAGTGGCGGTGTCAAGTACTATGTTCGCGGGTAAATTTTATGTTAGCCTTATTTTAAAAATTCTAGATACAATGAAAAGAATAAAACCTTTAGTTGTTCTAAGATTATTGATAGATAACGAATAAAACTTATCAATATGTTAATACATATAGCACAGATCTTCAATTAATGGATACCTTAAAGACATCTAGAGAACGTTCTATACGTTAATATTGTATTAAAATATTTTATTAGAATATTTCATATTGAGATAACTTTAAAAAAGTAAATCTTAATTAAGCTAATTATAAGATGGAGAGATATTCTGAAAATTTAATTTTACTGGAATTTTATATTTAAGATAAAAAATTATAGAAATACTTTAAACTTTTTTTTTAACGTTACCTTAGGATTACCTAAGATTTACTGAGATTACTTTACGAGATATTTTTCCATTCTTTAGAGTACCTGAAGACAATTTTAAAGTCAGTTTTTAAAACCTTCAATTTGTCTAAGATTTTTTAAAAATTAGTTTTGAAATACTTTAAAATTTCTTAAATTACTTTAGATTAT